GTTGTTATAGTCTCACAACATCTATTATGCTTGAATATAAATTAGCACACTTGAAGTGTTGAACTTCGAGTCATTTCTAATTGTAGCAATTGAGATTTGTATCAAGTGCTTATAAGATATGCTCGATGAAATGAACTACATTTTGGTCTAAACCTTGTTGCAATCTTGATTTTTTTTTTTCAATTAAACAAATGCTTTTATTCAATGACAATCTAAAAACAGAAAATTGCTTCTGATTGGTTTCGATTAAACAAATGCATTAATCGTAGTGTAAAGAGGAAAGTTGCTTCTTCACTTAGGGGGTGTTTGGTAGAGGAGAAAATTTTTTTACTAGGAAAATACAGTTACTAGGAATGTGGTGGAAAAATGAGTTTGGTAAGAAAGTTAAAAAAAGTTGTTTGGTAGGCCAAAATATTACCGGAAAATTGGGTTAATTTTGCTGAGTCTATGTTTGTTTGAAAATAAAATATTGATTGGAAAATGGGTTGAAAATACGAAAATAACCCTTTTTTGAATCTTTATCCAACTCCACACACGGTACTGCTCGTATTTGACTTTTTCTTTCTTTTGGAGGTAAAGATATATGAATCATACTCATCGATATAAATTGTTGTTCTGCACACCGACAAACTTTACATTTTGAAAAAGGTAAACCAAAGTTACATCTCTGGGTAGCCCAAATTCAAATGATATATGATTTGTAAAACTTGATTCTGTGCTAAATTTTTACACGAGGATAAGGGGTATTTCCGTCTGACCCATCGCAAATATTTTTTCACTTGACTTGTTATCTACAAATACCACCTCCAAGGTGGTATTTTCAAATAGTGATTTTTGCATCACGTTACACACAAATCTTATTTGCATAGGGAAAATGGTTGCATGATATTTTTTTTCCTAAACTTCTACCAAACATGGTGTAATTAAATACCCACTCTCATTTACCCATCTTTCCCACAACAAACCACCTACCAAACACCCCCTTAGGGTAGCTTTACTAATGCAATAATATGTGCTTATAAATCTTTTCTTTCCTTTCAGTGTATAACTTGATGTTGTGTAAAATTTTATCAACGTTGTGTTATCTTAGGTTTATAGTGTACATTGGAATGGGTCATTTATCAAAAAATTATCTTATTAAAATGTGCAGCTTAAGTGAATTTTACTGATTACCAACACAAATAAAGTTTAGCACTATCCATATTCTTAAATTTCACAATATAAAATATAGAACTACGCATATATCCATATAAAATTGTTACTTTCTTTAAAAATTATATTAGAATGATGTTTAGGATTATTTCATGCAAGTTGCTTGCATAATTAAACCTAAAGATTTCTTAACCCTAACCATAACCCTAAATCCTAACCTTAAGCCCTAACCCTAACCTCTTAACCATAACACTAAACCCTATCCTTAAACGATAACCCTAACCCTAAACCATAAACCATAGACTTAAACTCTGAACAATGTTATTCCTTACTATAAATGTTAATGGTTGGCTCGTTTGCTGCAGTTGGATTTTGTGCGGGCTATTCCCTCGTGTACCTTCGACACCGACATTCCTTTGCTCTCGTTGTTTGCCATTTGAAGTAACAAACTTTGATTGTGATGTAATTGCGTGCTTGCATTGTGATGAAATAATAGTTGATATGTTATCCCTTGTTTCGTAATATGTCCTCATTTTATTGTGTACTTTCCTATTCTTTGGTTGCTCCCTCTAAATGCATGTCCCCATCTTCTGGTGTACTATCCTCATTCTTTGGTTACTTGCTGTAATTATTCTCTATTGAATGCATATGTTTGTTTGTCACTTATTCGAGTAAGTGGCATCATATATGTTGAAATTACTTGGTGTTTACTAGAATTGAAATGGCCATTTATTGTGGCATCATGTTTGATAATTTTTTAAAAAGTTAAGAGTATGGAAGACGGTTATAATAACCCATACCTGTATAATGAGCACACAGGAGTTTGCCATGATTTAACATAAAATAATTAGAAATAGAGTCTAATTATTAAATGAATTAGATATAGAAATCTAATTTATTTCATAAAGAAATTAGACTTAGAAAGAGATTGTGAGAATAATTCACTTTACCGTGAAAGTGTAATTACAGTAAGTTTGACAGTAAAAATGCAACCAGGAAAATTTACATGAAACTTGTAAATAAATTAGTGAGGGACTAATTTATTGAGTTATATGAGATTAGAACACATGTGTTGAATTGCTAAGTTATTTGGCTAGAATGATATTAAAAGATAAGGAAATTTAGTATTTTACCATAGCTAAAAGGTTGACCATAGTCAAACCTAGGCTTAAGTGAGTTTAAGCTTCTTATTTCTCCTAAGTCCCCCACTCCATTGATTCATCATCTCCTCAAAAACAGGAAGGGATCCCATTGTTGAGAGAAAAAGAAAGCTTAAAACCTAGAATGAGTTGTGGTAGATGAAATCAATTGGTTCCAAGACCAAAAGTGTAACACTCCGTGTGCACCCAGTGTATTAAACATATAAATGGTAATAAGCGCAGCTCAATAAATGCAGAAGCTAAAAATTTCAAGTATGAACCTTATCATATTAACTTAGTGAATCTTTTTCAAAAACTGCCTGTATATAAATTGCAATAAATAACTAAACTGAATAACCTCATAACATAAATAAGGTATCAAGTCATGGAACTACAACACTTAGACCAAACATATCCTGATACAATAATACAACTCCAGTATGAAATACACAACTTATTCAAATATGGCATGGACAACCCCCATGCTCACCAAATAAAGCAACATAATCAAATCACGTCTCAAGTACAATAGCCATAAATATATAACAGCAAGGCAAAAATCTTAATAAAATAGCAAGGTGCATGCATCATCTCAACTCAACTCCGGCCTCGTGCCATTAGAGGTCTCAACCTCAGAATTACCTGTACCTGAAAATATGCCCCACACGGGGTGAGATCTCTAACAAAAAATCTCAGTAAGGCAAGGGGTCCTCAAGGATCTCTCCACCTCAAGCTCACTTACATGTGCAATATAAGTTCAAAAATGATAACAATAGTATAATGGCAAATATCTGTGCAATGCAGCATATGTCCATGTCATATGTGTATGCATCTTACTAGCCAGAGAACAAAATGTAGGTATCACATACCTCTACAACCCACAATACAAGGAGTCCACCATGTTCCTCTCACACGGAGTTACCATCTTGCACGTGGCCCGACATGCTTAAGGATTATCGTCTCGTGTGGAATACCCCGCATACATATACATACGACAAATGCACTATATCATAATCCAGTTCAACAACATATCCAATATTCATCATATAAACAGATATATTTTCAGAAAAACACATCATGCATATAAACCATCCCTTCATGAGGTTTGGTGGAATCATCAATGGGTAAAATCGAGGACACGAAAGCTTACCTACAGTGCCAAAATCCTTATCTAAAAGCTCGGTATACACTGATCCACCAACAGTCACATAGTCCGACAATTGCAATCTGTTTATATCAAGAATATTATTAAAATCAGAATCCCAAATTTCATAGCAATTGGATCACGTTTTATTTTTCGTTTAATGACCACAAGCCTTTCCTAAAGCCGTAATTATAGCATTTCAAGCCTCTTTATTATTTGCATTACATTTCCAACAGTAACACCGACTCCCTAGGGTATCATACCCTAATTGGGGTTTTCCTACGCATCAGAATTGATTTCTGGTATTTTCTGACAGGGGTAATCGATTACCATGCAGAGGGTAGTCAATTGCCCTACACAGTAATCAATTACCATGCGGACAAAACACAAAATCTGTATATTTTTTTGCATAATCTGGGGATTCCATGGCTTCCAAGGGTCCAAGGTCTGATTTTTCATCAAACAGAAGTTCAAACCACATGATTAAACATAGATATACTATCTTTTACTTGAATCATTAAGGTTTCCACTTTTTACTTCACAAAATAAGCCATTTAGAAGAAAAGCAAGGGAAATGGTTTATAGTTACCTATGGACCTTTGAAAACAAAAAAATGGAGAAGCTTTGAAGATGCTCCAAGCTACTGACTTGGTGGTGCACAAAAATCACACTCAAAGGTAGGTCCTTTCTTCACAAATATTTGGTTCTTGAAGTTTCCTATAGTGTAACAATGGTTCTCACACTCAAAACTCAAGTGGACAGCCCCTAACTCTATGCACACAGAAACTCAAACCATCAAGAAATGGTTTTTCTCTCACAAAACTCAAGCTTTAAAAGGATTGATGATGATTCTATAACATAGACATAGAGAAACATGGAGAAAGATGGCTTCTTGGCTAGGTTTCAAGAAAAATAGTCAAGTCTTCATGGAGAATGAGATGTGGCAGCCATGAAGATCAGCCTTGGGGGTCTGAAAACTGACCTAGGATTTTGTGTCATTAGATATATATAGGTGCACTCACTTAAACTAAAAATATTAGTTTAATTAGTTTCGCTCTTCGTTTAACTCTAAAATTTTATGTTCTTAACCTAGACATTTTTCTAAGAATTATCATATTTTTACATTAATTTTTCAAGATACTTCACCGGTACGCGTTTTATACATAGCCGATATTAGTCCTGACATCACTGCTTATTAATTTTACCCCAAACTTCATATTCTTAACCTAGAAATTTTTCTAGGAATATTTATATTTTTATAATAATTTTTTGGAATACTTCACCGGTACGCACTTATACTGCGAAGCAGAACCAGTATCTGCATTTTTCATCAAAAAAAGGACAAAGCATTATTCGACTTTCTTGATAATTATTTTACCATAATTATGCCTAATCTTATTAACTCTATGCTCCGGCATCGCTAATGTTATTTTATTCATTATTTAGCGGTGCAGGTTCTTATATTCACCCAACCTTTTAAGAATTTTGTCTGCATAATTAGAGACATATTTGTCCCTAAACTCGGGGTATTGCCGGAGAAGATTGTCCTCCCGCTCCCAAGTACACTATTCTGGAGTTCTTCCTTCCCATTGAACTTCGACCATGGAAATGATCTTGCTCCTTAGCTTTTTCTCACCACGATCAAGTATCTTGAGTGATCCTATGGGAGTCTTTAAGTTCTCCCGAATTTCCACATCATCGGGTTGCATAATGTACAAAGGATCCGCTATGTATCTCTGCAGCTGTGACACGTTAAACACATCATGGATGTTGGCAATGTTCGGAGGCAAGCCAAGCTGATAGGCAATAGGCCTTACCCTACCAAGTATCTGATATGACCCAATGAATCTCGGGCTAAGCTTCCTCACTCCGAGGGCGCGGCCAATGCCGGTGATAGGTGAAAGTCTCACAAACACATGTTCACCCTCATTGAACTCCATTGGCCGATGCTTGTTGTCGTAGTAACTCTTCTGGTGATTTTATGCTTGCTCCAGCTTCTCTCTGATCATCTGGATCTGCTTGGTAGTATCTTGGACAAAGTCCAAGCCAAATAACTCACGATCTCCAACCTCAGACCAACAGGTAGGAGTTCTACACCTCCTATCATACATTGCCTCATAGGGTGCCATGTCCAGGCTAGCATGAAAACTGTTGTTGTACGAGAACTCAACTAATGGTAGGTACCGATCCCATGCTGAGCCTTGCTCCAAGGTGCAAGCCCTCAACATGTTCTCAAATGTCTGGATGGTCCACTCAGTTTTTCCATAAGTCTGAGGGTGATAGGCTATACTCAATCTCAACTGAGTACCAAAAGCTCCCTGCAGCGCCTCCAAGAACCGAGATGTGAACTTCGGGTCCGTATTACTAATGATACTCTCGGGCACCCCAGGAAGTCTCACAATTTCGCGAACATATATCTTGGCCAACTGCTCTGTAGAGAAGCTCACCTTCATTAGAAGAAAATGGGCAGACTTAGTCAATCTATCCACAATGACCCAAATAGAGTCACAACCAGCCTGAATCTTAGGCAATCCCACAACGAAGTACATGTAAATGGTCTCCCACTTCCATTGCGGAATCTCAAAAGGTTGAAGCTTACCAAGAGGTTTTTGGTGCTCAATCTTTACTTTCTGGCATATCAAACATTTGGACACATAAACTGCTATATCTTTCTTCATGCTCAACCACCAAAAAGATTTCTTCAAATCCTGGTACATCTTTGTAGCCCCAGGGTGGATAGTGAATTGTCCCTTATGAGCCTCTGACATCACCTCCTCCATCAACAGACCCCTAGGTGCCACAATCCTGTTCTGAAACAATAATAATCCTTGATCGTTCCAAGATACACCACCTTGGTTCTTCACATAATCAAGGCATTCTCTTTGCACTTGCACTTCTTTGATCTTATCCATTAACTCATTCTCAACTCTCACAATTTCCATCTCCAGTAGTGCACCCCCAAACAAAAAGGTCACTGTCAAGTCTCGAAATTTTTCAATCACATCAAAATCATTAATCATTAAGCTGGATAGGCTAACAGATTTCCAACTTAAAGCATCAGCTATCACATTGGCCTTGCATGGGTGGTACTTTAACTCGAAGTCATAGTCCTTAAGAAATTCCATCCATCTTAACTGTCTCATGTTCTACTCCTTCTGGTCGAAAAGATACTTTAAACTCTTATGATCGCTGAACACCACAAACTTCATTTCATATAGATAGTGCCTCCAAATCTTAAAGGCAAAAACAATACCAGCCAACTTCAGATCATGAATCGGGTAGTTCTCCTCATGAGGCTTTAACTGCCTCAAAGCATAAGCAACAACTCTACAATTCTGCATCAACACACAACCTAGCCCCTTCTTAGAAGCATTGCAATATAACTCAAACTGTTCCGCAGGATCAGGAAGGATCAACACTGGTGCAGTTGTCAATCTCTCCTTTAACTCATGAAAGCATTCCTTACACTCGTGAGTCCACACAAATAGAGTATTTTTTCGGGTAAGGCGAGTAAGTGGCAACACCATCTTGGAGAATCCCTCAATGAACCTCCTATAGTAGCCTGCCAAACCCAAGAAACTCCTTACTTCTGTAACTATTTTGGGTTTCTTTCAATCCAATACTGCCTCTATTTTGTTTGGGTCTACTGCCACTCCTCTTGCAGTAATGACCCAAGAAATTTCACTGAAGTGAGTCAAAACTCACACTTCGAAGGCTTTGCATAAAGTTTCTTCACCTTTAGTACCTGCCGTACAATCCTCAAGTACTCCTGATGCTCCTCCTTGCTCTTGGAGTAAATCAATATATCGTCAATGAATACAATCACAAAATGATCCAAGTACGGCTGAAAAATACGGTTCATGTAATCCATGAATACTGCTGGTGCATTGGTGAGTCCAAATGGGATCACCAAGCACTTATAATGACCGTATCTCCAACGAAATACGATCTTGGGAATATCCTTCGGCTTAACCCGAATTTGATGGTATCCGGACCGAAGATCAATCCTTGAGTACACGCAAGCACCCCTGAGTTGATCCTAAAGATCGTCAATACTTGGAGGGGGATACTTGTTCTTGATTGTCTCCTTGTTCAACTGCCTGTAATCGGTGCACAATCACATGCTTCCATCTTTCTTCTTGACAAAGATAATCGGTTCTCCCCATGGAGACACACTAGGTCAAATGAAGTTCTTCGCGGAAAGATCCTCAATATGCTTATTCAATTCCGCTAATTCAGGTGGAGAAATCTAGTATGGAGCTAATAAAATAGGCCCCACACCAGGTAAAAGATTAATGGAGAACTCTATCTCCCGTTGTGGGTGTTTTTAGTCAATGGGAGCTTGAGGTTTGCTTCCTCTGGCATTTTAAGATGATCCATGGTAAGTTTTCACCACTTAATCCATGTTTTCATGAATTTCCAAAGAATCTAGGTTTTGTGAATAGTGTTATGTGAAATTCATATTTTTAGCAGGTTGAGGATGATGGTTTGAACTTGTTTTATATTGTAGGGTTGGCCTTAGTGATGTGGTGATTAATTTTCACCGATTAGAATCAACACTCCCTCAAGTTTCAGATTCTTGAGTTTTTCCAAAGGGGTAAATTATGAGAATGATTTTTAGATATGTGTTCCAGCCAATAACTTAGTGATTTATGTGTTGTAGGAGTTGTTGATCACATGTTTCACAATTACCATAGGTTGTTGTATGAATTTCTTGTGGTTAAGACTCTGTCAGACAGAAAGAGCAGATAACGAAAGTTCTACAACAGGTAAACTTCTAGACCTTGGGCTTCAGTCCCTTGTGTATTCCACCATACTCCCTTAGGGAGGAATGTTTTTATATTATGCATAATGCTGATAAACCTTGTATGTTGCATGATAAGACAGAACATAATATAATCAAAATAGAAAGTAGACAGAATAGAATAAAAAGTAGATAGAGCACTTCTGGGGGTATTCATCCTTTAGGACAATCCTTAGAGGTATATCATCTTTAGGTGTTTTATCCTATAGGATAATCCTTGGTAAATTATTTTGCATATTCTTTGGAAATGCAATGGTTGGACATACCAAACAGAACAGAATAAAACAGAGGAACTTCCCTAGGAAAGAGCCACATTCAGGGTGAGAAATTCTTGGTAGTTCCATTTCAGATTTTGTATATACGTATGCTTTGATCTAATACTATTGATGCAATGAAGTGAACTACGGGTTGAAGTGATCCTCTAAGGAACCCTAGTTTACTAAGATTTTTGTCTCACCCAGTGTGAGATATCATTTTAGGTACCTTCACTGATGGAGAGGGAGCATCTCATGGCAAGAGGCTAATGCAGATTTTAGTTTATGTCATGCTGCATGTTTTTTGAGACTACTTGTGTTTATCATGTAATATAATCAATTTTTGAGAAGAATATGTAATGCTGATACACTATAGTAGCTTCAGCTATGATCATTGTTATTAGTATCATTGTGATGGACTTTGATTATATGCGTAATTAAGTTTCTGGAGTTGTAAATATGATGAGAATTGATAATGTACCTATATTTTGTATGTAAATGGTATGTTATTTAATATGCAAGAATAAGTATGTCAGAGATAAGACATGCATTGAAATCCTAGGCTACAAAGGTTAGGCGACTTGTTAAGAATGAAACATGAAATGTATAAGTATGTTGTGATGCTAAAGGAAGAGATGGCTTGTGTTCCAAGAAAGAGTAGCTTGTGAGCCAAGTAATGGCATTGATGCCTAAGAAGTGTATCTAATATAAATTGTATGAGAGGATGTAAGTGCACCCATGTTTGTTGGGCATATGGTTGCCATTCCAACCTATCAGCTTTTAAGAAGAATGAAGAAAATGGATTATGTTTCCTTTGGTAGGTCACATGAAACAGAAAGTTCATGTTTATGCCAGGGAGAGCGCATTAAAGAGTGCTAAAACATGCTCCCATTTCAGAAGAAGCATTCGAAGTGCACACTAAAGTGCAATGTTCAGCGCTTAAGCGCGCTCCCAGCATGCTAAAGCACGCTAAATGGAAGGAAATACCTGACGTTGGGTGGTAAACCACAGAGAAGTGGCCTGGAAAGACAAATTACCTCAGTGTGTGCACACTAACTGGAGCGTGCTAAAGCGTGCGCTTCAAAGGAAAATTTGTGAAAAGCAGCCCGCTGCCCATTTTATTGAATGATGAGTTTTAGCCCTTATTGGGTTTAAGGGAACCCTAGGAGATGATGTAAACATGATGCATGGTATATGTAAGAAAAGTAGAAATATTCAGCACAATGTATGGGTTATAATTACAATTTTTGAATTATTATAATTATGAAAAGAATTTTAAGTAGAAAATTAAATGTTTAAAGAAAAGAAAAAGTTATCCGTACTTTAATTCAACTATTGTGATTGTAATTGCACTTAGTATCGTATGTAATGATAACAAACCAGTAATGAATGAGGTGTTATATTTTATGGTATAATAGCAGTTTCTTAGGGAACTTATGTATGAGATATACAATGTGAGATATGCTTTATAGTTATTTTTAGGGCCGGCAAAATGGGCTAAGCCCGCCGGGCTGGCCCGCCCCGCCTGCCAAATGGGGCGGGCTGGGTTGAGTTTTTCAACCCACCAGCCCGCCAAACCCGCCAGCCCATATGGGTCAGCCCGCCAAGTCCTTTTTTTTTTTTTTTTAGGTTACCCAATTGTTATGTAGCTCCGTATCTTAGATTTCTCTGCATGTAAGTGACTTTTTTGAATTGTTGTGGACTGCTCATACAACACTTTGTTACTCTATTTTATCCTGATATGATTTTATTTTTTTATTATTATTTTTGGATTGAAAGATGCATATTTATATGCAGATTATTAAACACTGATCTTCTTGGTTTTATAAGCATATTAGGATTTTATGCAGATTTTTGTATGCTTTTATGCAGATTTTTTTAT